CGCTAAGTACATTTTTGCTTGGACAAATTAGTGTATATGTGGGTTTAAGCGTAATGCAGTAGCGATGAGATAAAAAATAAAAACAGAACCAGAAAACCTAGCGTACGAAGAACAAAGTCGGTTCAATTGCACCAAAATGCCTGTAGACCAATAGAGTAGGTGCGTTATAATGGTAATTGGTCAACTTCTAGTTGACTCCAATCGCATACACAGAGAAGGTCCTGTTTCAATTTGTTGATACACGTTAGCATAACTGCTTATCCATTCCATTGGTCGGTGTGATTGCATAATTAATTCAAAGTTGATACCGTGACTCACGTAAAATGTTTTAAATCATCTGGATGTTTCCGATAATTTACGAAGTACAATAAAAGATGAATTCTAAGAGAAATTCAATTCCCCAGTTGCTGATCACAATAGCCATAGGTAGGTAGAAATTTACAGAAAGAAAATCCTTAAACTCCAAGCACTTCAGCAAGGTCTACTGTTTAAATACAGATCTGCTGAATTAATGCTGAAACCTCAGTGTGCAAATATAGATAATTTAATTTAATTTGAGCTTTATTTATAATGCCGTATCACCTAAGATAGTGACGATCGTTTTTTTAATTAAAAACAGTGAGTGGGAGGCTGGATCAAATAAAATAAAAAAGAAAAAGAAAATAAAGAAAGAAAGAAATAAAGAAAATAAAAAAGAAAAGATAGGTAATTTAATTGTTATTCTAGAAATGGCAGGATAGAAGGAGGTGTATTTAAAATATAAATGGACTCTAATTGAAAGAAAAAATCTTATAAAGATGTCTTATGATAGAAACGAAAATTTCTGTTTTAAAGAATTAAAAAAAAGAGCTGCGGACCTAATAAAGCAAGCAGCAAAATTATACTTTTAGCTCAATATGATAAAAGTGCACAACACTAGCACAAGCAACGCTAGAGAAAGGAACGCACAATCTCTCAACCGGCAAAGCTCAACCTGTTTCTGGATGATAAAGTAGGAAGTTCTAAGATAACACACTTTGATAATAAGCAGCCAAAGCATATACTTGTTGCGGGTATAAATCTCACCTTCCTCACCTCAACAACCAATAGATTAGAACACAGAATCATACTACCTTTTCATTATCATTTAAATAGCAGTATTAACGTCTATTAGAAACCTGGGATATCGTGTTAGTTTAGAAAGCTCCTTGTCGGATATACAAAAGATGCAGCCACTCTATTTTCCTTTTATTTGGGGGATGCGTATTGACATATAATTATCTACCGGATTCGTATTGAAATGAATGTAGCCTTCAGAATGAAATATTAAAAAAGAAATGTGGAAAAGAGTCCAATAGGAGAAAGAGTAATTATAAGACCTCAAAGAATTCTCCCCCCCACCCTACCTTGTATTCAGATATGAAAGCACTACATGTATCTGGGATAAAATCTTAAACATAAATGGACTTATTACTATTGTAGTTCTAACTGTCAATAACATAACTGTTTAAGCACAGTCCTGTGAATTCGGAGGTCACGAGTTGGTTACTCATTAATGCATGCTGAGTGAAATGCAGAGTTAACTGCGCTAATTAATATTAGTCAAGAGAGGGGCATTAGAATACGAATTACACACAAGGGAGACACTCAAGACTATTGGAAAAGAAACACCTAACCTCGACGAACCTGGACTACTCTCAGCTCTTTGCCAACGAACCTTATGAAATGCTTCGCTTCTAAGAGCTCTAAGCTTTGATTAAAATATTGCAACTCACTACATCAGTGTCATCAGTTTTGACAGCCGGTACTTAGACACACACACGCCTGAAAGTGTGATTAAAGAGAAGGGAAAATAATTGCTCCACATGAAACACCAAGATCGCGAAGTGAGTCGGTCGGCTCACACATTAAAAACTTCCTACTCAAAATAATGCCATCCAAGTGCGTGTTTAATCGGATATGGCAACTTGTATTAGAGCGAATACGTTAGGACACTCACGTATACATTTGCATTCGACTACATTGATGACTCCAGGACTGTTCTAGCCAACTGTGAATAATTCGGGAAAGAAAAGATAATTTGCCAACGTCTAGAATTAGGACAGCCGCGTATGCGTATATAAACAAAACGGTTTCCCATTCTAAGTTCCAGTGATTTATAGTTGGTAGGACAACGCTTTTACTGACATTGTCTTGAGATTAAAGGCGTTGTTTCGACCACCTAATTAGTTATGGGGATGAGAGTACCATAAAAAATAATTCTATTGAATAGCATAATCTAGGGCGGAGATCTTTGTTCTACGCAAGAGCCTGGTATAATGAGTAATACTTTACCAAGCTGCCAATGACAGGTCTGACTAAAAGGAAAAATGTCATGAGAACGAGGTTAGATATCAGCATATAATAATAATCTACGCAAAGGTAATTATAACATGCCATAAAAATAAGAGATGAAATTCCCAATAATGTTGCGTTTCTATTATAGCGATCGACTTAAATTTCCCAGAAGTAGATAAGATAGTTCACTATCCGCTTGCCAAGATGTAAGTAGAGAACCTTCTCAAGAGAACTTCGAATTTGATACAACAGGAGTGAACAACAAAAATGGTATTTTGTGGCGCCTAGAATTAGGACAGATGTGTGTACGCACACGGCAATAAACCAATTACCTTCTATAGAAAATAAGAAGAAACTCGAATACAAGAAGCCTCGAAGAATTGACTCTAGAGATATACAATGGAGATTTAAGAAATAAAAGTGTTAATCTAGTTAAGAAACTTATTTTGGTTAAGTCCCTTCCACTGTGGACGGCAGTTTCATTCACTAACCCATGATTAATCTCAAAAGGAATGTTTGTAACTTACAGAGCTACCAATTAGCATTCTAACGGATTGCCCTCAAAATTTCGATTCCCAGGAAAGTTTATGCGCTTTGGACAAAAAACCTGGGACAGATAGACACATTTGACGAATTTAAAATGAAGTCAAAAAGTAAGCAATTTGGGCAACATTAGCTGTGCGCCGTTTAACTTTAGACAACGTAAGAGTAACTTTGTGCATAGAATATATTAGCTACGACCACCAAATGCAAGGAAACACGGGTCAAATGTGGTGGAGGAGAGGAGGAGGAGGAGGGGGGGGGGGGGCAGGGTGGAAGTCTGAATCTTGGACGTAAACTAGTAAATGCCAGGTAATGGACTTGCCGTCCTATTAAGATGTAAAGAAAGAACCATTTTATGAAGTGGTTTACTTCTAGCTAAAAGTAAGTAAAGTCATGAAAACGACTAAGTCATAGGCATAAACTTCACGAAGCAGCAATCAAGATTTGTGCAGAAACACAGCACCTTCGGAAATAGAAAATTTACCCTAGGGTTTCAAGGTTTTCAACACATATCTAATTAAAATGAGAGATTTACGGAGCCTTCTGTGTGAGAAATTTGTATTCTAGATATTTACGTATCCAACAAGGCAAACAAGTTAGAAAACCGGTCTTTCGAGTGCAAAGATGCTGAAGGATCATTACATAAACGTATATATATATATATATATATATACTAATAATGATGTAAAAACCACTAAGAGAGGTCAATTCCCACCAAGGCTACAGGCGTACTGTAAAGCAGGACTGAATGGTTCACGAAACTGTGGATGCATTCTTATACATAAACTCCAAATGACTTGAATTTTTTAATAAGGAATAGCCATTTCTTACATATTACGTTAAGGCATTATGCAGTCTCCAGTATGTGGAGACAAACTAGATCGATGCAAGCCACATCCATTACTACTTGCTTACCCGACTTAACAACTTTGGCTACAGGAGCAAAATAATGCACTTGGAGGCTGGGGGGGGGGGACACGCGACCTCATGGCTTCGCTGCAACACACACACACACACGCATTTCGATATAAACGCACACACGTGTATGCATGATGCGCGATTGTGGGTGGAGCGAATATTTTTAGAACCCTTAGGTGGCTAACACTAGAAGCACACACACACACACACTGCCCATTTTATGTTTACATGTGACGCGAGTATCCATTACCTCCCTCATCGCCCATCTTCCCATTCAACGAAAACTCTGTGTATATATACAATCAATGCGAGATATTTACGAATCCTGGGCCACAGCAACTACCCTTCAGCAGTAAGTCTACATGGGAAGACAATCGATTGAAAAATACACCTTGATCAACAAATTAGAGTAAAAATGTCCTTAATACACTTATTCGAATAACTTTAGAGGAAGAAAATGAATTTCAGGGTTCACCTAGCGAGTATCTCCTTCTAGACCACTATAAATGAAAGAGAACACGAAATTAAGTAATTCGGCTAAAATTGGAGGGTTTAAGGTAAAATAGGTAAAAAGAACAGCACTGTAGGAGCGTCGGAGGTAACTTATCTGTAAACGAAATCATAAAAGGGAAGAGGAATCGTTAAGATATTCTCAGACAACAATACTGAATGATTTAGGGCTCAGTTACTAACAATTCTACCAAATACGAAAGAATTACCTCGAGGAGACCAAAATGTAATTTCAAATATATCGAAAATTGTCTAAAATCACAAAGAAGACCAAAGGCGACCATTTAATCGAGGAGAAACATGAATTGCAAAAAAGTTAACTCTGCAGGAAACTGAACTGAAGAATAACTGGATCCAGCAAACTCGAACAACTTCTCATATATGCCCCACTATCTAAATGCACGAAATTATGCCACAGATGAGCCTGAGATTAACCAAAAAATGCAAGAATATTCGAAATTGACTGATTTCATCAATTGCCCAATACTTCTTCTGAAATGTGAAATCATGACAAGATATATACAAAGAACTCAAAATGAGAAATGAGCTCATAAAGGAGGATTAATAGAAATGCAACAAATCGCCGTTGTACTAATTTGAAACGGAAAGCTCTAGCGACAGTTTGAGAAGCCGTTTTAATTTATCAATAGGGTAGAGCGGGAGGAAGGGGTAAACACAGAACTTGTAAATGGCATGTAGTTGTATGGCAAATTTTAGCTTACTTGAAAAGCCCCATGGTTGATAAAGCTGACAGAAATTCGATTAAACAAGATCGCATAAGTCAGACCATAGGCCATTAGCTGCACAGTGAGATAGAACATTCGTCGATATGGGATCGTCGGCAAGCGTTTATTCTCATAACCATGAAGGTAATTGCGATAATCCTTGAAGAAAACGAAAGGCCCGATACACACCCCATGAAAATACAAGCAATATGCAGCGAATTCTATAGGTCCAGGCATTTTCGATACAGCACAATCCCGACTCGAAGGGGCAATCTTTGGATCAGTGTCCTCGACAATGGCCCTAGTAGCATCATCCTGACCGTCCAGGATGTCATCTTCTTCATTTGAAGTCTTGCAAGCCCCATTAGTCGCGGTGGTAACTTTTGCCATCCTCGCTCCATCGTAGAGATTGAATGCCAGACTAGAAAGACGTTGAGTTTGAAGCATCACAGCTCCAGATATGTCAAGCGTATAGCCCTCATAGTCATAATAAAGTCGGCATTGATGAATAAGCATGAGATAGAGTAGTGACCAAACAGTCACCGCTATTGGTGTGACTACACGATCTCTTCGACACAACAAGAGCATGACATAGGCCACAGAGGATTGTAAAAGGAGAACTCGGAGTTGCATGCCAAAGCAGAAGATTACAACTCCAACTCCGAGTCCAATTTCCGCCAAGGCTCGGAAGATTGGACGAACACGGGAAGGCGGTAATGCAAACCTCATGATCAAGGCAAGAGGGAGGCTAATAAATGATGCGAAGACAAAGTTGATCATATCAACTGGGATACCGGACCAGTTACTAACGGGCTGTAGGAGACGGGAGCCGGCATAGAAACGGTCTTTCACGAAACCAGCATCTGGTTCTATAGTGATACCCATTACAACACCCACTATAATGTCTAAAATCCTGAACGTAGTTGAATTGAGAGAAGTAAGGGAGGCATTGGGATAATCAGGAGGCATTGTCGTATAGTGAGTAGATAAAATGGGCAGAGTATCGTTTTGAGTTAGGTGAACTGAGGCAGCATTAATTGCAGTCATTATTATTGTGATTGTATATTCGTAAGCGAGCAGAGCAAACACAATTGGATAGAAACACAGACAAGCTCTATACCATTACAAGAGCGTAGATTACCTGCAAAAACAAAAAAAAGAAAGCTGCAAATAGGGAGTGAGAGGGGACTCATGTAAAGCATTAATTACACATAAAAAGAGCACGCGTGAAAATCGAACCAATTGCTGACTGGTCAAGTAAACACTGCGCACAACTAGCTCATACACGCATCCATCAATCAAACCAAGTCCTGAAGCAGAAATCTGATTAAATAATGTAGTAAGGCTTTATTCTTTTTTATCTCACGAAAATGTCCAAATGGGGGAGAGAGAGAAGTGGACACTTTTTTGGGTCTGTGAGAGAACAAAATAAAAATTGTGCAGGAAAAAAGGGAGGGGGGAACAGTCTGTTTTAGCATCAGCAGGTTAACAAACTAGCATTCGAGGTCAATTTGCAAGAGAAAGAGTGGAGTAAATTAGAGGGTCGTTGAGAGGCCACTATAGACCTGTCATCGATCAATAGGGTCGGAAAAGTAGAGGGATTTGATTTGACGCAGCTTATTGATCCAATCTTGTGAATGGCCGGTGGGATCCTCAAGGTAGTATATTCTATTCGGAACATGGATCGAGAAAATTTTATCGTTTTTGCGTTCAACTCGAAGAAAATTACTCCAGGGAACTTCACCTTTCCGTACCATAGCGTCCGGATCCACGTAGAAAAGATGCGGACCCTCTGTGAGAAGGAATACTCTCTTTCGGGCGAAAAGACCTCGTCTTTTGTACAGAACTCCCTGCTTTACAATCAACCGACCATTTACAAAAGGATGGAATATATTTTTGGCGGATTGTTGAAGCAACAATTCCTCGCGTTGTAGTTCACTAATCTGATTAGAGGCAAGAGCTAGCTCCTGTGAGAGAAAGTACTTTTGACTTGCATCAAACCCAGTGGGAAGTCGATCCCAATCATTATGCTCAAGGGGCTCAAGATTGGGAGTCAGAGTAGGGGGTTCACTCTCGATAAGATGCTCCCAGTCAATACCGCAAAAGAATAAGTGAGCTGTTAGAGCATCCGGACCGCCACTTTCAGGACTACCTAGGCGCTTTACAGGGTTTTTAACCAAAAGTTTTTGGACTAAATCCTTGGCCTCAGGATCAAATCCATCAGGGAATACATAATTGCAACAGCGAATTTTACCAAATACGTCAAAATGATGACCATACTTGTCACTTCTAAAAGGAAGATCACCCGCAAGCATTTGGTAAACAACTATGGCGAGGGCCCAGTAATCCATTAGGTAGTAAAGATTAAAAGCAATCGTGGATGAAACCCTTGCATCATTATCAATAGCATCATTATGCTCATCTGATTCATCTGAGGAGGATGAAGAAGAGAAAGAGATGGGAGCATATAATTGAATCATTTCGGGACTGACATATTCTGGTGTACCGGTAAAACTGGGTGCTTCAACAGAAGGATCATTAAGTATTATAGCAGAACCGAAATCGGCCAATTTTATATGCATATCGGCGGTTAAGAGGATATTCTCAGGTTTGACATCTCGATGAACAATAGACTGGGAATGGAGGTAACGAAGAGCAAGAACCAATTCAGCTGCATAAAATTGGGTACCCTCTTTATTGAAAGACGTGAACTTGTGAAGATAATCCAAAAGACTTCCCCGTTGAGCATATTGCAGGACATAATATAGACGGGAAGGATCCTGAAAGGTGTAAATCAGATGGATGATAAGGGGATAGTTAGTTCGGCGAAGGACTTCACGTTCCATAAAGACCGCGAGCTTTACAGGCTTATTACCAGCCACCTGCTTCTTAATCACCACTTTGATGGCAAATTCACGCTGGGAAGAGATCTCCTTGGCTACATATACAGAGGAGAAAGAACCAGTGCCAATTTCCTTGCCAAATTTAAAATCTGAGGGTTGAGGCACTCGAATGGAAGGGGTTGATTGATTTGAAGGGATGGAAGTAGTGGCGGATGAATCTTGGGAAGAAACAAGCGGGCAATCGCCCACGTTGCCACTGCCTCTTGACTGCATAGGACACTTCAACTAACCAACTATAAAAAAATAAAATTAACCATAAAAAGTATAAACAAGAGAGGAAAAAGTTCAATTAAAATAAATTGTGGAAAATGGAGTAAGTACGTAAGAAATTCATTTGATTGTTCACCATAGGCATAAAAAAAATTAACAAAAAGATCGAGATCAATAAATGTAGAGTAATCGGAAAATAAAAAAATTAATAAATAAAAAAAGACATCTAAAAAAGGCTTCTATAAATTTTAAAGAAAATGGTTAAAATATGGAGAAAAACACCCACTCCCTGAGCTTTATCAGAAATAGCTTTTCAATTGGCGACTTTGAATTCGCCGCTTAAAGATAAAAGATAAAACAAACGCCAAGTTGTAATTATAAAAACAATATTAATATACTAATTAAATACTATCATAACGAAATTAAATACTTTAGAGTTTTGTTAATGAGGCCCTATGTAGATTTTTTTAATTTTAGAAATATGGGCCTGAATAATAGTTACTTTATTTCATTTTAAATTAACTACTACCTCTACAAAAATACATGAACGTAATAGCTCAAATTTTCTTCTGGGGCGACAGAGATAAATAAAATCCAAAACTTCATGTATGTATGGATTTCTTTTTTCATCGATACATTTTGCCAAATTTTAATTATCACCTCCGTAGTTTTTTATAGTTTGCCGCAGCTGTCATAATTTTAAAGAAGCGTAACAGTTCTCTTATAGCTATGATTTGAGGCTCTATCATGAATTTTTAATTGACTATTGATTTCGACTCAGAGATAGAGAGAGAGATAGACCTCATAGGACTGTGGGACACGTTATCGCTCTGTGCGTCATCGTATGCCTGTATGTCTGCTCACCAGGATTAGGAGGTGCGGCCGTACAACTCTGTGTGCAGCGACCGTACAAACAGTGACCAATCATCAACCTCTGTTTAACCTAATCAGCCATCCAGATCATGATTAGGTCCCCTACGTGTACACTTTATCCGCAAGATACTCACCGAATAAACGCGCTCCGTGCTACACGTATGTTTCCTTTATAGCTGGGCTATAGCTTAGTTTGTTTCGGGAGTCTAGCTAGATGTAGAAGAATCTGCCACAGAGATTTCTGAGTCAGTCAGGCTTTACTAAGGTAGCAATCCGCTACAGGATCAATTTCCATTTCAAAGTTAACATGATTTGTAGTGGGAATATATTAAGAAATCAAATTCATAAGGATAGATAGGCAGCCAAAATTTCATTGGTTGAAGTTATAATACCTGATATTTGCAAAATGTTCACTTCAGAATTAACATTGGACTGATACTGTTCGTAAAAACCACTTGATGCAGAAGAGAATCAACTGTTCTGCGAAAAATCAATCGCGCATATTGCGTTCCGCCTTTTGCTCAAAATTAAGCAAAAAGGAATATGTTTGCATTGGAGGAAATTTTTGCTTAGCCCTATATTGAGGTAAGTGACAGCAAACTTAACCACTTAATTGATCAATTCCGATGCACACTTGCTTAGTACATGGGTGAGCAAATAGATATGTTTAAAGATTTTTCAGGTTTGGCCATGCCAAAATAGTAGAGAGAGATGAAATAAAAAAACTTTCAATATACTGAAATGAATTCATGTGATAATCTTGTTCGTTAATTCAAACTTAATTTTTCCATATTCTAAAAATGATTCTAGCTAAATATAAGAAAGTAAAAACAAAATAAAATAAACGCATCGAACCACTGTGAATAGTATTTTTTTGTATATAGAAGGTTATAGAGCAAGCATTACTAAATTATGTTATTTGATGTTTGTTTTAATAAATTAAATTAAACATCTGTATTGGAAATTGACGAAGGACTTACTGTTGCGGCAATCTCGACTCAAAAAGCTCATCTTATAATGCCCGTTGGAGGGAATTTGTATGATTTTTCGTCGCGCCCTAAGCGTTGCAATTCTGAAGCAGCATTAAATGAATCTTGGCGACACTTTTATGATCTTGATGGAGATTCAGTTGGACGGTATTTTAGTGTCAATTTCCCTCAATGATTCGTTTTAGAGGTGGCGCCGGAAAAGTTTTCCGAATAAAACCCAAATGTATAAATACCCTTCATGAACGAAAAAACAGCGTTCCAGTAAACCTGTCTAATGGGCAGTTTGCATCAAATTTTGAATTCGTTAATGAATTTCCCCTTGACAAGTCACTTGCAGTTAAGATCATTCGCCGTTTCCGCGGCGGTCGAGATACTATTGAGAAAATTCGGAATGAAATAAATATAATTAAACGCCTTAGGCCTGCCACAAACAATGAAGATGTCCCCAGGACTGTCGCCCCTCTTTTATATTCTGTTCACGAGGATGATACTCAAGTTGCTATTGTAATGGAATTGTAAGAATTTTACAGGCCTTATTTTTTTATAAGTATGCCTATTCCTATTGGATTTTGATTTTTTTTCAGTGCTCATGGTGGTTCCTTGTACGACCTCGTTTATTCGGAAATTTTTAATCGCTCTCTTTTGCCTGTCGGTGATATCCAATCCACATCTCAACCTCGTATCCCGGAATCTTATATTTCCTCTGTACTTTATCGAGTTACTGATGCCCTGGCTTTTATGCACGATCAAGCAAATATCGTTCATCTTGATATTAAGGTGTGTTTTCTTATTTTATATGATTGTTATATTCTTTTTGTGTTCATTGATATGTTCAAGCTTCCATTAATCGCTTATCAACTAATGGTTATACATCGGTCAATTTCTAAATTCCTGTTGGGGAGAGTTTATTCTATTTTTCATCGGTTTCTTCCCATTCTTAGGACTTTTAGTTAATTTTTGTAAGATTTTAATTCAATTGAAGATTTTTGTATATATTCTTGCACGATTTACTGGTTTATTTTCATTTTACTTAGTTTTTTGTCAACGAGCTCATTTTCTCGGTAGCGATTTTTGTCTAGAATATGGTTGGTGACTCCTATTTCGTCTTTTCCATTTTTTTTATTATTTTTACTCGAATGCTTTCTTTTGCACTTCAACTGGTGAATTGATCTACTCAAGCAGATATTTTTTGCGATATACTAAGTTAATACATAAATCTTGCAATCACATCCCAATTAACGGAGAAAATATGTGGATAATGCTCATTTCGAAAATTAAACATATTTATCTTTGAGATTTTCCAATCTATTTAATAAATACTTTATTTGTTCTTCATATGTAATCCGAAATAACGGAGAATACCTGATTGTGTTTTTTTCTATTTTCCCTAACACGGTTTATCTAGGAACGTTTTTTCCCATTTTCTGACGAGACTGTCGATTGCCAAATAGTGGATTCATTGAAATTCTATCAGCATATCTCCTTTTTTTATTCAATTATCGGCTCTTATTGGCCTTTATTGTGAAAATAAGTCGTCCTTTTCTCTTTCCTCTAGAATTTTGCTTCCGCTCTTTCGCATTCCCTTTTTGGCCACTCTTGGACTGTTTGTCTGTTTACGCTTATGTTGGGGGGGGGGGGATAGGTCTCTTCTCGCTCTTTTAAAATTGTTTTCTGTTGCCAAAACGTTAAACTCCTGTTATTATCCTTCAACATGAATTCCAATGCTCGGTATTGACCTCAAGCTGTGTTCCTACCTACTGTAAATGTCTTTTTTTCATTGATTTGCTTTCTGATTAGTGGGCTTCTACCAATTTATTTTTTTTAAAATCTGGTTTAAACTCGAATTATTAAATCGACAGTCCTTAAATTCATATCAATGCAGGTAAATTACGCAACCATCAATACAGTTTCCTTTAATAATTTTACATTCTTCTTGCTTCGTGTTAACTTGTGCTTTCCACTTTCCTCATCGCTCTTTATATGCTAGTGGGGTTTTAATTGAAGTCATTTAATTCAAAATAGTGTGCTAAATAGGCTTTTCTTATCACCAAACAACCATAGTATTTTGAATAAGGATAGATGCTAAATTAAAAATCAAAGAATATGTGCCTGAAGTATTATTATTTAAAAGCCGTTAATCACATTCAATTCATTACCTGAAAGCCGTGATCTCCAGGTATATTTTTTAAGTACATTTTCATCTTGCATTATATCTGAATTTTGAGTTGCTGTTGTAACTGAGGTCTCTTTTTTTGCCTTCACGGTTGAAAACTGTTTGCTAGGTTTACTTTTGTTTTCACTTATCATATAGTTTCAAGCAATGCTACGGATTTCACTCTGCCATTATTCGACAAATTTTGTTGTAAATATCAATTCCGTAATTAAAATTCACTGTCGAGGTGTTAAAATATCGCCACGGCTTCAATTTATCAAAATTTATTTTACGCCTCCTATCAAAAAATGACCTTTTGCGATAATTAATTTTCACATTTAATCAAGTAAGATATTCTATAGGTGAACAAGTTGTTTCCTATCTATACTGGTAGTTCGAATCAATTTTACAGCGAAATATCATATCTTTAATCTTGGAGGATCACAGTTGAAATTCACATTGTACTAATGCTCATGTTTATATAAGGCTCTTGTAGACATTGATTTGTATCTAAAAGTTATACGCTTCCAGGTCTCGAACCAAACAGAAGAAAATTGTCATTAGAGTTTAATTTTTTTTGGCCTTAGTACCATATATCATTACTTTACTCCATTCATGTTGTAGGCCGAAAACATCCTACTTCGTGAACCCTATCCTTCTTCAGACGTCTTCATCACAGACTTTGGTCTGGCTTCCCACCTCAGCTCAACCAAACCCCATAAGGAACTCGCAGGAACTCCGGACTATACCGGTTAGTTCTCATTCATTTACTTTATTTTTTCGCCTACTTTTACCTCGATAGCATAGAGAGGATCTAAAAACCCCTTTCAAGCCGAGCGCGTTGGGGGAGAGGATAGATGGTGAATTTCCCAAAACCACTCTAGTTGAGAAAGTTTTCTCCCCTGGTTGATAAAAATTCTATCTCCTGATACGAGAGCCTTGCAAGTTCGGAGGAATTGTATTTCCTAATTTTATATTTTATTGAGAGTAGTTGTCGGTGATATTCCTCGATATTTCAACTTGTTATTTTATCACTTTATCTTTTAAACCAATTCCATTTGGTCAATTAGTAACAGCTGAGTTACTGATGCTATATTAATTATTATTATATTATTATTAATGTTCGAGCTTTCTGGTCATGCATGCCAAATATTAATTATTTGTGGCATTTAACATCACAGATCAAATTCAATGGAATTACGAATTTCAATTTCTGTATTATCTAGTTAAACACTTGACCATTTGAAATCTCGTAAAAGTGCTATTGAGATTTATATTTGAGAGTAAATAATTTAGATATTTTCCAGCTTATGTCTATTCTTCCGCAAGATAGACAAATTTATGCTGCGAACCCATGTCCTGTGATCAAATATTTCACCTACTTGCACGTCATTTCTATCAGCCTTGATTAATATTTTTTGTCACATGTCAACCTGTAACCTACCACTAATTCCCTATTCCTCCTTCTTTTACCTATTGGCTATTATTTGTGACGCATGTTCCATTTAAAGTAAAAGGCATGCAGAAAGTTACACATGGGTATAATATGTGTGTGATTTATTGTGGAATTCGGAGGAAAAATTCCTTCCTCGAAAACAGACCGTGAAAGTGCTGTTAGAGCAACTAACGCCACATTTCAATGGGAAATATTTTGTCGCGGCGTTCGCTTTCCCACATTAAACTACACCACTTTCCTACACTTATACATGTGTAAAGTGTCAAATCTTGTGATTACACTCATTTTAGCGGTCATTTCAAGAGAATATTGAGGAACCATTGCGTGGGGTGGGGGGGGGGGGGGTTAGAACACTTTGTTCTTTGCAGAAGGATTTTGAACACAGGAAGGTGTGTCTCCTCTTCAACCATTGGCGATATCCAATCTCTTGAGCACTGGTCTTTAGCATTGCCCTCTTCGAAGAAACATGAATACGCAGAGTAGCTCGGTTATTATACACTTCCACCCATATTTGAAATAGAGTCTACATTTTGTCCACTTTTAATGGATATCGGCGCATTTTTTAAATGGTATTCCAGTCTGCTACTACCCTCCATTATAGGACTACTACTTCACGCGCTGAAACAATTTAAGGGAAAATTAAACAGTTGCGGTTCTGCATTATACAATGCACTCCTGTAATACTTCACAATATAGTGATGTGACATCTGCAATTAAATTAAAATGCGCCCAATCGAGTGTTTAATTGTTACCACTACCTACAAATATAGCAGAAGTTACTGTTCGGTTGTCTTTTTTAGAAATAGGATTAGCTATTTCTTGATCTTCATTGTATAAAGTATCCTTTTATTGGACCGTAGGGGAAGTCGGATGCGGTGGGTATAATAGGATGCGATTCATCTCCATCTTACTTTGAAATCCACTTTGAGTTCAACTTCCGCGACTTCTCGCAAGATTGCTTTATAATTCAGAGTTAGTCGTTGGTTTAATTTTCTATAATGAAAAATCTATTGTTCCTCAATTGGATGAAGGCTTAGACTTACACCAGGGCAGATTTTGAGGGTCACTTTTGAGTCGAAGACTCATGTAGAGGAGGACTTCCAACCCCATCTCCGTCCTATTATGAGAATAACGTCGAGTCTTTCCGGGTTTGGTTATAGTCCCATTTGCTCGAAATGTGCTATCAAAAAAACGTGCACCATCTAAACTGTAACATTCACTGATGGAATGTGGAATTGAAAGCATTTAGCGTCATTGAAACCAACATATTTCGGTTTAACTCTCTAGTTGCGTAGTTTCGAGATTTTTTTGGGTTGAATGAATTAGCTGGTCGGACCACTCTCCCAGCTTCCTGAATTTCCTATTTGATTTGATGCAGAGGTGGTAGTTATGTTAAATTCGACATCGTCTCTATTTTGAAAATGTATCCTTGAGTTCCGCTCTGCTTATATATATATATATATATATATATATATATATATATATACATTTAATGAGAACCTTAATTTCAGTTATTAAAATGTAATACGATCGTCACTCAATCTCTCTTAGTAATCAAATCTGCCAATTTGTTTTTTCTTCTGCACTTTCAAATCGCCTTCCCACCTAGTGTAAATCCCTCTTTTTAAACTGTTTATTTTTTTTTCATTTTGGACGAGGGAAAAGATGTACCGAGCTTGGAATTTGGAAATTCCATTGTGTCTTTAAAAATGCAGGGAAAATATTGTCCTTTGGAATATATACTGTGCGAAAAGGGTGGACATAAAATAGGCAAATAGGAGGGGTTTTTGTACTTTTATGAATTGAAATCAAATCCTAATTTCTCGGTTCTTTTTGTCTCCTACTTAATTATCAAAGAATCCCTACCATACCTCCTCTCTTCTTCTTCTTCTTCTTCCACACATTTCGATTTTCCTTTTTTTTAATTGTATTGTCAATGTCTTTTGGCATTCCTGGTCCACTTTTTACATTTTATTCTAGAGGCCCCAAAAAAATAAAAAATTACAACGAGTAGACCAGAGTAGACAGTAAAGTGATTATCAGGGATTCAGGAGAATTCTATTTCATCTGAGCTCCAGAATTATCAATTCGGCTGCTCGTTTAATTTGAAGGCCTTCATCCTTATTCTCTTCCTTTTTTCAACATCTTGGTTAAGCAAATCTGAGTGACAAGTTTGTAGATGATTTAACTTAACTTATGAATCTACCTTAAAGGGTAAATATTTAACGCCAATTTGACGCATTACTTTAAGAAGTGCGATGTTTTTCGTAAGTTTGTCGGAAATCTTAAAATCAATCAATTTTTAACTACGTATTGAGTTTCAAATTATTAGATTAAGCTACACTTCTTTTTTTAGTGACTAATTTCCTATCATTTATTTTTGATTTTAAGGCATACTTGTTTTAGAATTCCTTGCTATATTGTATCAAATATAAAGGGAGGAAAAATTGATTTTTTGTCTCTGTAAGTGCATTATCTAGCTTGATCTCTCTCATTGATTTAAACGTAATATCAATATATGGCTATTTTTTGCTTCCTTCAGTTGACGCTTCTGTGATTGATTCTGGACTTTGATACGCTTGATTGTGAATTGCCGTTGACATTTCTGCGCCTTCTCCTCCCGATTCCTTTCTTTGTGTGTAAGAAATTTGTAGCATTGGGTGAGGTGGGGTGGGGGGGGGGGGGGAGAGGGGTTGGAGGGCCTAGGTGATGGTGATATGGCCACCTCTTTGTAGATTATTATCAGGTTTAACATAACTGTAACAAGTTTAAGCACAATGGGTAATTTTTTCCCTCTAAGTTCTAAATACTTCTGCCCTCTCGTATATCAAGATTATCTTAAATTGCAACTGAATGAATACCTATGAATTGGTTATACAAAAATCTGAATCAAACAATTCTTGGCGTATTTTGCAATAAATTCACACACACACCAGTCTGCTGGAGAGAGAGAGAGGTAGCACATTGCACCTTATCGAGACGTTGCAGTGCGTGACGCTTACCCCATCTCGCCCCGTCCATTTTGGCCAGTCGACTCGCCTATGTTTAATCGCCTCTCTGGTTCTAACTATTGCTACGAGCGAATAGTTGGATGATTCATTGTAGTTGCAATCCATTTCTATTGCCTTCGTTGGTCTCGATCGGGCAAACAATCTAGAGTCGTTTGTTTAAGTTTTTTTAGCGTATCTTTGCCAATATCGGCTGAATCGTCTTTTTAGGTCAGTCGCTTAAAAAAATAGGCATTTATAAAATAAAATGAAATTATCATTGAATCACTTTGATCCGAAATGCATATTAGGCATGGCTGTGCAAGTGAGAAGGTGATGGGATTCGATTACTTCGGTTTTGATTAGCTAAGAAATGTTGTTTTCTGAACCCGAATGGTGATTGACGTCTCCCCACTGTTAAAATTCTTAAAGTGCTGGAAAGTTGCATGGTGAACTAGGGGGTTAGCATTGTTAATGCCATTTAAAGAAAACTCGCAAATATTCGAATCAACTAGTTTTCATTAATAATAAAGCACAATGTTCGAACTTCTCCGGCGGTAAATCACACTACCCTCGCTTTTCGCAAGTTGATTGACTAACTAATCGGAGATCCAAATTGTTGTAGGCATTCTCTTCTACGTAAAATAATGTAAATAGCCCTTTAACTCCTCTTGAGGTTCGATTTACGCAGTAAGTTTCGACAATCAGAGCTATATTTGGAAAAGAAGCTTTGTGTAAAATTTCTTATCCAAGTAGAACTTGTGCTTATTTACTGTTGAAAACTCGAAAAGTGCTAAAGCATTTCAGTCACCTTAAAGTAATAAAGTGGACTTACCACCATTACAATGTCTACGGTATTTTAATTATTTAATTAATTAGCAAAGCAGGAGACTATCATTGAAATTGGCTTATTTGAGCTGTTAATTGTTGTGATAATAGCATTAACTATAGTAAGAGTTAATTTGTACATTTCTATTAGGGAGCTTTCTCCGTAGTTGACGTCTTTCACCAAATTTAAATACCGAGTTAATTTAATCCCCCCCCTATGTTTAAGGCCTTTTTGAAGTGTATTAAACCACCTCCTTACTTATTCTTCAAAGTAGACAATTGCAGTTCACTTGTCCGTCTGTGAGCATTGTGTTGGTTGGTTAAGCAGGAAAATGATTTTAAACGTTTGTGTTTTTGTTAAGTCAACCAGTCTGGTCATTTCGGCTTTAAAAACGTACACATTATCCCCAAAATGTGCTTTGAATATGAGTTTTCCAGTGCTTTGGCCACAACATTCAGCCACTTTTGTGTGTTTTTTTTTGTTG